CAAGAACCTTCAACTGACTGTTACACAAACACAGAAACGCCGCAGGTTTTTTGTATTGATGTTTTTGTGTGAACGAAACATGGTGCCTGTGATTGGATGTTGTTACACATAGGAACCTCTAGGGTGCACTGCTGAGCTAACCACAACCATATGGATCCTATGGGTGAGGCTTGTTTGACCAGCTTGTTTTGAAAGCACTTTATTTCTTTATGGTTCATTGCATAAAGCACACAATAATAAGAGCTAACAGCAGGCGGTGTGCACAATATGAGCAAACAATGTAAAGCAAATATAGCTTTATGATCATTCAACAATGGCATAGCTTACAATGGATTTCATTAGGAACACGAACGCGTATAATGCACGTCCGATAAGGTGTGTTGCGCGTTTGGAAGGCGAGGAAAGGAGCGCCTGTTTGCCTTTTTGTTTGCAAGGTATTATGGGTAGGCAGGCTGCTGATCAATCACAGGCAGCAGAGCTGTGATGTTGGGTCGCTAGGCAACAGGAAGGGAGAAGAAGCAGAAGCGAAAGCGTTTGAAGGGAGCTTCAGGGTGGGGGGTTGTCTCAGCTTTTTTTCCCCGTCTCCTTCCTGCCTGTTACACCGAGCAGTTTCTCCTTCACCTCTTGTCAGACGGAGAACATCTGTACGAGTCTTCTTGAGATGATTTAGCTACCTAGAAATCTAATCATTCTAATAAGAAACAGAAATGAAGATCGAGGTAATATCTCCATATTAATCTAAACCCCTGATTTGATTAAAGAATCTCACAAAAGTATCCACTCGTTTCACCCTCTGGCAGGGATGATTGACCTACTTTCACACTCCCAGCGGTCTACATCCTCCCCAATATCTTCATGCTGAAAACGCAGTCACATAATAACCTAGTGCCTTGCAAAAGTATTCAAACAAATATTTTCACGTTTTGTCAAGTTAAAATCACAGCCCATGGAGGCGTATTATTAGAAGCGAAGGAACATTGTGATATATTAGTCTCACCTAAGTTTTTTTTAATGTAAAAAAATATATACCTAAATTGTGTTGGCCTATCACAAAATGACAAAACGCTTCTTACCTCCTCCCGTCACCTCTCTCCATCAAATGAATGCATCTGGCATGCACAATAGGTTTTCCAAAATAGGTTTTATTCTGGAATTCTAGATTTTGTGTTTTGTTGCCACATCTTTGGTTATAACAAAAAATAAATAAAAATAAAAAAAGTCACTTGTCACATTTTGCAAATCGATACAGAGGTGTAACATGAGATTGAATCACATGAATGATCCTGACTGACCGCTAAAGCAATCGCCTTTCATCACACTCCAGGACGTCGATGAACTCAAATAGTGATGTGGAAAATTAAAAACAGGAAGGAGAGGAAAAAAAATTTAAAAATAAAAAATAAAACAAGCATTTACAAAAAATATGTTCTTTATTCTTTTGGCTTGAAAATGATATCATGTGAGCGGAGAGTAGTCACTTCCTGCATGCAGTTCACTAAAATACTACAAGCGCAATGAGAGATGGCTACGGATTGTTTCATGGTTCCTATCTACAGACATGGGGACCAAACATGTGTTTCATCGGGTGTTACAGTGCAGAAAAAAAAAAAAAACATCTTATAAAAAAGAAATCAGAAAGACGTGAAAATGCACTCATATCTACATTAAAAATTATATTTATAATCGGCAGAACAGAAGCAACCTTCGGAGCCCAGTGGCACACAAACACACTCGCTCAAATAAGAGATGGATGGTGACATTCCTGCAGAGTCTTGCGCAGATACGGACATGTACGACAGCCACACGTGGAATTACATAGCAGTGGGGATAAAAAGTGCTCTTACATCAAATGTAAGTAAGTGTGATGCATACTGTGGGCCCAAATAGCTATAATATTTACAAACCGAACCACTACATTAAAAACCACTCGCTTCTCAATTGAAACATGAACGGCATACAAACATTTTTGTGATATTACAGCTTTTAATTGTGATATATTGTCATGTTGTAGCTTGAAAGCAGGTAGAAAGACTTTTTTTTTGTCTTTGTATAGTTTGTTACTTAAAGACATTTTGTTTACAGGAGCTCTGTGGGATGTAGAGAGGAGGGGGAGGGGGGCGTGGAGGATAAACGGGAGCACAGTGAATGCAACACGACAGCGGGTGAACAAGTAGGTCAGAGTGTTGCCTTAAAAGACAGACGTTTTTTGGGAAATTGGCTTAACTTTGCTGCCAAGAGATAGATGAGGATATTAATACCACTCCTGCAATGGCACACAGTGGAACCTTTTGTAGGGAAAACAACTAAATACGTTCTGCTTTGAAGTACATATAAAACTACTATTATCCACCAAGGTCTGGTCAACGTATCTGGTATGAGTTGCATCCACCTGCTGCTGAGAGGTCTAGTTTCAGTATTTCTTGCCAACATATGAGATGGTGCCAAAAAAAGCCAAATCTCTGTCAACAAGATGTGCAAACTAAATTAGGAAGACCCATTCTTTAATGAACGGAAAAATTGCATCTCAGCTGCCTCAGGTGCCGGGTCGTTTTCACGAGTTTGCCATTTTGTACCCAACTTTTTTCCAGGTACGAAACGAGCCATGAAAGATTGGGTGTCTCACACCAATCGTGATTTTAATTAGCTGCTTTAAACTTTTTGTAATTTACATACATATCATTTACAAAGTCTACTGTCAGGAAATCAGGACTGTTTTGGTTTATATTTTCTGAGAGTAGGCAAAGAGTCTCCAAATGGGACCAGAACCGAAATCAATGGAAGAGTGACACAAAATCTTTAGAAACTAATATACATTTAAAATAAATTAGATGTCGTATTTGTACTTTATCATTATTATAATTTCTAATTTTTCAAAAATATCTAAGCAGAAAGAAAAAATAAATTACTGCACAATGGATTAAGCATATTTGTGGAAGGGTACAAAATGGAAGAAGGGATGGCATGGTTTCGAAATAGCATAACAAGGAACTGACCACGTTCCTAGCTAACTCTAGCAACTTTAACCAAGGTCAATGCTTGAAATAAGCATGACTATTTTACTAAGTTGATCTTCTGAAAACACAGCTCAGCTGCTATTGGTCGGTTTGCCTTTTATTTTTTTTGCACCATTGGTCTTTAACCACAGGACATTTATAATGTAATATCAATCCATGCCCACCAGGGGTACGTTCCAACCAAGAACCTACTTATACTCTAATGTAGGGAATTATAGCTATTTGACTCCAGTAAAGAATATCTCGACCCATTTAATGTGGTCCAAACGAATCCATACACATTTAGTCATCCATGCATGTTGATATATTCCTTATTTCTCCCCATTATCTTTAAACCGCTTTCACACTTTGCTTAGTCAGAAGACAAAATGATCTCTTCTATGTGTTTTCGATGAAATTTAGTTTGGATGGTAATATAAACAAGATATGCACTTATGATAATGACAATAGCAACATTTGTCAGGGTACCTGCCACTCATTAAAAATATGTCCACAAGTGGTTGAGCCTTATATTTGACAAAATTCTTGATTGTAGCCACAGTCTGAAACACGAATACTAAACAACGCCACAAAACATTTATCAGCAGTACCTTACTGCTGATAAGGTAGCTAGTACTAGCAACTAGCTTGCTATTTAGCAAGCTAATTAGCTTGCTAACTAGCTTGCAGTTCTTTGAAAGTATCTTTTTTACCGTTTAAAAAAGTGGATGGTGGTCTTTTTCTTTTCTCTACACAACTACAACAACAACACCGATGATGAGAAGTGTTTAACATTCAGCACTGAACCTTTTGACAATCTCAAAGTATGAAAATATGATTCGACTGTTTCCATAAAGCAGATATGCTAATGAAGGGAATCCATTATTGCGGTGAGTTTAGAATGGCTCAAAACAATCCATAGTTTAAACCATTACAAAACTAAAGGACACAAAATAAACAAAACAAAAAAACATTTTGGTGTATGAATATCAACACCTACTGTTAAGGACAGACACACAGTTTGACATAAAGACTTGTTTAGTTATTTTTTTTTTTTTACATTTAGATTAAAAACAGGCACTCTGATCAGATCAACAGTCTGATTTAGGTTGGATTCTGCCAGACAGACGTCAGATGGGAACACTCCTGGACATAGCTTACCTAGAAACGGAGTCTAGTCTAGGCACAAGAGTGGTGCCAATTGTATCATCGAAATCTTGGCAAAAAAGCAACCAAGAATATTTCCCAAGTTTCTTTAATTGTGTCTATTTCCTCCAGATTGCATACATTCAGCTTCTCTGTTTTTAGAGAGGGGTTTTTCTACTGAAACTGGAACATGGCATTAGACAGTGATTTTATAAGTCACTGATGGGACACCAGTGATTACAAGTTATTCACTCATTGCACTTCATTGGTTATGTTCCAGTTTCACATATTGTATTAACCACGAGCATTTTGGTACTGACCCTGCACTGTGCGAGTTTCAGACAGCTGTAGTTTCCAGCATCAACTTTTTCTGCCCTTGGTGATTGTACGTGAGTGAAAGCAGTGGAGACATTCTCAAAAATAAAGTAGAAAACATTCTTTTTCATTAAAATAAAAATAAAAAAAAAATCCTGAACTGAAACAAAAGATAATGCAGAGAACCTGTTAAGTGATACAGCAATTTTTCAATTCAAGACACTGGATTTATAGAAGTAGCAGCAGCACTAGCTACAGACAAATTAACAGTACACTCAAGTGTCAGATAGTAACAACAACCAAAAGGAAAATCACAAGCGTTTTGCAGAGAGGCTGCACTATGTTCCACTCAACCTCTGGCAGTGTCTGCTGGATAACTTGCTTCCATTTTCCCTCTCTGGGAAGAACCCACATTTTTGTATTTATTATAACAGCGCTCCCATTTTAGGCCTCCCTGGCACAGCGATACTCATCTCCAAACAATCAATGGACAAGCACACATCTATCTACCTCCTATAGAAGCTGTAAACAAATTTCCCCCATATATCTGATGCATTGTTTGTTCCGTTTTGTAGAAGTCTATTTTTTTCTGTCTTTCAAGTCTTTCCCTTTGTTTTCCTTTTCCTTGTTTTCTTTTTCGTATTTGTCCTTGTCCGACTTCGTCACGCTGTTGTAGGAGGGTGGAGAGGCGGTAGACGGAGTCATGTCTGTTTTGTCTGAGGTGGAGTTCTCGTTGAACTTGCTGATGACCATCACATCCTTGTCTGGGTCGCGGACACCCTCCTTTAGCTGCTCTTTGTAGAGAGCGGAGGCCTTTTTCATGGCCTGTTGGATCATGTAGCGCCGGAAAGCTCTCTGGATAACTATGGCCGACATTTCCTCCTGCTTGCGGCGCAAGGTGGTGGTAATTGGCTCGTAGGACACTTTAGAGGGGTTGGAGGCCATGAAACGCTCCTCCATCTGTCCACGCAGCATGTCCATCTCCCCACCTTCGCCCAAAACTCGTTTGGTGAAAGCGAACAAGATGTCTAGGCAGTGGATGCGTTCACCACTCACCATTGGCAGATCCATGGCTATGAGCTGGATCATGTTGGGTTTGGCAATGCGAAGCGGTGGATCGAGGGCATCTGCAAAGTCAGAAAGCTTGTTGTACTCCACAAACTGAGTGGCGTCAGGATCGAAGCGCTCCCACACTTCGTAGAACATCTCAAAATCGTCCTCGCTTAGTGGTTCAGCGCTCTCCTCTGTGGCCACACTGAAGTTCTCCAGGATGACGGCGATATACATGTTGACCACAATCAGAAAGCAAATGATGATGTAGCTGACGAAGAAAAAGATGCCCACTGAAGGGTTACCGCAATTGCCTTTGTAGAAGTTCCCAGGGTGCTCGATCTTGCTGTCACAGTCTGGCTCTCTTTTGTTCAGGATGGGCGCCAACAGGCCGTCCCACCCAGCTGATGTCGTGATCTGGAACAAGCAGATCATGCTGTTCCCGAAGGTCTCAAAGTTGAACATGTCGTCGATCCCCGACTCTCTCTTGACGTATGCAAAGTTGCACATTGCGAAGATAGCATAGATAAACATAACCAAGAAAAGAAGAAGGCCGATGTTGAACAAGGCAGGGAGTGACATCATCAAGGCAAAGAGGAGCGTCCGGATGCCCTTGGCACCTTTTATAAGGCGGAGGATGCGGCCTATCCGGGCGAGTCGGATCACTCGGAACAACGTTGGGGATACAAAGTACTTCTCAATAACTTCGGATAAAAACATACCTGCAAAAGGAAAAATGATCAGAATGATCCAAGCAATTTGAAAAAGAAAAGAAAATCTATGAAAAAGTCAAATAAATCTGAATATTCTCTTACCTACAATTGAAAGAATCACTACCACAAAGTCAAATATGTTCCAGCCAACAGTGAAGTAAAAGTGTCGCAGAGAAATCATTTTGAGTGCACACTCCCCGGTGAAAAGCACAATAAAAACCAGGTTGATCCAGTAGAGGATTTTGTCCATTTCCTTGGTTTGGTCATCCGTCTCTACCATCATCGTCACCATGTTAAGGCAGATGAGGATCATGATTACAATATCGAATGCCTGCTTTGTGACACAGTCAAACACAAAGCCTTGAAATGCGTTCTGAAAGAAGATGGACAAAGAAACAAAAGCGTTAATTTTTTACACCAACATTTGCAGTCATTTCATTCTAACTGAGCAAAGAATAGGCTTACCGTTGGCCGAGGAATCGGCTTTTGTGGCTTCTTTGAACCCAACTTCTTCATGGCATTGTAGTATTTCTTCTGTTCTTCTGTCATGAAGATATCTTGACCTCCAAAGTAAAAGAGAAACAAAAACAACTGGTTACAACCTCACTCTGTAATGTTGAAAAGTGTGCTAAAAGTAAATGCATTAGAAAGGTGTTGTATTTTCTAATAAATTTTCAGAAAGTCCACCATCCGGAAGATCATTCACCATGCTTACTGACTACCCCAAAGTCACACCATCTGCTAGTCCTCTGTTGTGCCTTTCAAAAGTATTTGTACACTTTGAAAAGTTTTTTTATTTCAGGCTGATCGGTGCATATTGAGGGATTTCCAGGAGAACATGTTTACATGGACAGTTCAGAAAATCAGCTCACCACAAGCTAACTCATGCTTTTTAACCCACAGCTATGCCTGCATCTTGCCAAGCAACAGAACTGTATAAATAATGAAATGCAGCATGAATAATTTAGTGTTGACTATATGAAGGTAACGGTGGTGTTTTAGGACGAGATTAACAAAGGAAGTGCAAAAGTCAAGATGAAGCTGACTCACATATCAACAGAAAATGATTATTATAACGCATTTTTGTTTTTATCCACTTCGACCGAATCCAAAAATAGAAAACATATTGAATTTCTAGGACTTTGGGACTCCACTTTTTATCTACTCCTGTTTTCTTGATTAAATGGGCAGCATTATGTTTTTACCAGGCTCATAGTAC